GTGTCGTAGCTGCACCACAGAGCAACACTGCAAAGTTCACTAAACATAGATGTTTACATTTTTCATTTATTTTTTGTATTGCAAACATTTGCACTGTTATCAGTATTTGCACACTATTTTATATTATTTATATTTAAATATTTTATATATATTACTATATATATATTATTATATTATTATTAAGATTGTAATATAAATATATTACAATCTTTAAAGCCATTATTCAATACATTGTTATTGTTAAATAAATATCGAGATCTCAATTTCAGTGAAAATAATCGTGATTATCATTTTTGCCATAATCGAGCAGCCCTGGTGGGGAACACACAGTTTTTGGTGTTTGTCAACGGATCTCTCATCAATCTGCTGCCCTAAGCAACCGCAGCTTTAGCAATCATGTTTCACGTGCTAACTGTTAGCACCGCCCACGGCCTGTTGACATATAAAACCGGGTCCTCTGTGTTGACAGCGGCATTGGACGGACGAACAGGTAATGAAAGCAGTGCTTACAGGAGAGAAAAAACAAAAAACAAAACTCAATTATCGATCAATATCAATACAAACGTTGCTATCAATATTTGGTTTGATCCGTCCAACACTAGCACCAACAGCTTCTCGTCGCAGCTGTAGACGCTGGACTCGGGGAGCACACAGCCACACAAGATGCGTTTAAGGACTACATTGCTTCCCTACTTCATCTTATTCGCGGTTGCAGGTGAGACCTAACTGTTCCGCTGCTCTTGTATTTGATGAACAGAATCAACATTTTACCTGGATGATTGAGCATGCATCAAGACTGTTGTAACGGACGTTAAACCAGACTTGGATGCTAGATATCCAGGCTTGGATTGGAACAGCCAATCGCAAAACTGACTGGGAGCATTATGTGAAAGAAGGGAGTTGCCCTACACGGGAAGAACGCGGACAAAGTAGGCGGCGTTGTAAGACAACCACCCTGAGCGTAGAGTAGCAATCTTTCAGTAACCAGACGTGAAATACTGCCTCCTTCTCAGTCTGTGCTCCTTGTTTTACTTACCCCGACATGTAGAAACTCTCAACAATACAAGCGTCTCATCCCACACGTAAGCAAACATCAAGACGTTGAAAGCTGCTGGCGGGCTCCATTTTGTCGACGCTAAATTAGTTAAAAATGGCTCCTACATCCAAAGTTAAGCATACGCCTTCTTCGTTTACGGGACATTATTGTTAAACCTTTCATGAAAACTGTTTTGACCGTTCATTAGCGATAAAACAGCCGTTCCTCACGGAAAGAAGCCGTGACGCAAGCCCCCTAGCAGAAGCGCGTTCCCTGTCTGTCTACAGATAGAGCCAACGACCAATGGGATGCAGTGTACAACGTACTACATCCGGCCGCTTGCTCGTGCTGTGATTGGTCTGTCAGCAAGCCGCGGAGTTGTACCAGTAAATGGTAAATTGCCTGTATTTGTGTATAAAAGGCCCAAAGTTCATAGAATAATTTTACTGGTGTTTAGAAGTTTATATAAGTTCACTTAATATTCAGTCTTCTGTCAGTTTGGGCCAGCCCACCTTCTAGTGACATTATCCGGTTAGTAAGGTGGGCAGTTTAATGTCGGATGAGCAGTGTTGGTTCCGGAGGGGGTGCACTGGTCCTGGGGAATGGTATGTGTGCGTAAATGACAAGTAAGTAGTGACCTGTGTTGTATTTTGCGTTTGTTTGTGTCAGTACTGTAGTATATTACCATTTAGGAGCTAATGTAGTCCATAGTTGGAGCGGTAGGCCACGCATGCAACGCGTGAGTTCACCCTCATTTCATATGCTAATTTATGTTGTTAGCTTACCCCGGTTTAGCTTTGTCGACGCATGTACGGTCGCTCGTATGTCCATAATGTCATTCCTGTGTTATCAGACCTTCTCTGTATGTTGTATGTGGTGCTTGTGATTGTTTACTTTGACGTAGCGGAGTTTGTAGCGAACAATTAGGTACGAGAACTAATAAAATAGCGAACGTAGTAGATTATAATGGGGGCGCTTTTATTTTGTACAACTACCGGAAGTAGTTATTGTGTACTGACGGTTGCTTAACCTCGCACTAATGCTGTTTAGTTGCATAGTGTGAGCAGTTTGAAGTGTATTATATTTTCCTCATCTTAATATGTGATTATGTTAACTATATTGTATTATGTTTATATTTGAGTATTTGACTTGTCTATTCTCTTTATTTATCGTTATTTTCCCTTGTTTATTTCCTTTGTAGGAAACCACACACACACACACCTATGTACACCCGCTGTGTTTACAGCCCCAGAAATTGAGTGGTGACAATAAAGTGCCTCAAAAGGAACCTCAAGCTCCCTCCTTCTTTCATACTCTGGGACAATTTGGCCTTAAGTGGTGTTCTGGCCGACACACCGGGGTGACCGTAGTGCTCAAAGACTGAATCAGTGCCACAGCCGTGCCTATCTTTGATATCTCCAGTACAATTTGTATAGCGCTTTACTAGTCCCTAAGGACCCCAAAGCGCTTTACATATCCAGTCATCCACCCATTCACACACACATTCACACACTGGTGATGGCAGCTACATTGTAGCCACAGCCACCCTGGGGTGCACTGACAGAGGCGAGGCTGCCGCACATTGGCGCCACCGGGCCCTCTGACCACCACCAGTATGCAACAGGTGAAGTGTCTTGCCCAAGGACAGACAGTAAGTGTCCATGCAGCTACTGTCTGTCCTCTTCATGCTGTATTCAGAATTCTGATCCGTGGCTCTCCCCACTCTGTTCCCGCTCACATAGATGATTTTAACGGTCTTTTTCAAGTGGACAAAAAGAGCCGTATTGGTTATAATGTAAGTTCAGTAACACAGAGTTATAAAGATACTTGCAAAAAAGGTAATTTTTAAATTTCATATATAAACCCTTTGTAAACCCTGTTTAACAAACTCTATTTACCAACATACGTAAAGATATTACACATTAAAAAAAAAAAAAAAAAAACTCACGGAAACATTGAAACTCAGCTTTTGGCAGGCGATCACTTTTTGGCACAACACCGGCATTCTGCAGACGCTTACAGCATCTTCTTCCAGCGACGAGCACGAGAGCTCGTCTCGGTGTGTGGAACAACGATAAGGGCTCTGGCTCCAACCACAAGAGACGCGTTCTCTTGCCCAACGATGGTCTAAATTCGTTGGGAAGAACTAGCAGCCGAGCGAGTTCACGCTGCACAACCGAAGATTTGGAGGGGAGAGGGAAGGGAAACAGGAGGACAAGGAGTGTGGGAACAACTGAGCTGTAGTGCCCTTTTCACTGTGCAATGTCTGTTTTATATTCGGCTGTGCAGTGCTGTGCACTGTGCACCCATCCGAGGGATTAATAACGTTTTATCTAATCTCTATAATCTAAAAAAGAAGGGCATTAAATGCTCGGGAGGAAATGAATTTATGAATAAAACAGTAAATTGTCTATCTTAAACCTGCCCCCATTCCCTCAGCATCCATAGAGTTAAAACAGAGGGTTATTGGCATACGTGTGACCTAGAATAGTTGCATGTCATCGCTGGTTTCGCTAGATTCCACAATATTACAGTTATGATTTTAGCATCTAGTGGGAGTTGTCAGTTAAAGGGTCGCTAACCTACTATTGATCGTGTGCCTTATGAGACCAGGGGTCCTTAAGAAACAAATTTCTGTGCTCCTGCATGTAGACTAATAACACGCAGCGAATATGGTTTGACACCACTTTATAGAGATCCACGTAGACAGAGTAAGAAATGTGGGACTTATTGTTGCAAATAAGCAACTCAAATGCACAAATCTGAGCTTTTCAGTACAGCTACAGACATCCAGTTTGACTACAGTCCTGAGCTGAGACTGCACTTTGTCTTGTCCATGGTGACATTATCCACACAGTAGTAGATGCAAACTCCCCGCAGTTTATGTGTTTCTGTCATTGGTGGCACCACATCTAAAACAGCGGGGCATGACCACAAAGTAATTAACGCACACAGGCATAAATAATGGCGATGACTTCATAACGTAGGCTATGTGGTAGGCTTTACAAAAATTCAAGTCACAGCAGGATGATAGTAATCCAAGGCGCCACTGGTGTTTGGATATTTGTGTCGGGAAGTTAAAGGAGTTTCCAACGCTTGTCTGTTTCAATGGAGGAATGATGTCACTCTCTCTGAGGGCCTGTGTCAACATGCGTACTTGTGCATACTTGCGTTCTAGTGTACTCGCGATACGTCATCGCTAAAAAAAATCTGAAAAAGACAAACAAAGCAACACGAAAACAACGGTCATCGGGTAACCACGTAGCTCATCATTTGCTCGTCGTTGTAAGAAGCGACACGTTCTCACAACCAACTCGTCAAATGTGTGACGCTATGGTCACACTAACGCTATGGTCTGACTAATGGTCAGGCTCCCTCTGCTTCACTTATCGACGCGCAGGGTACCCCCCTCGCTGTGAGCACTGACGATCATTCCTTCTTAGAGTAGCTGCATTGTCTCAGTTCAGCTGTCATAGATGGATCCTTTCAAAGTCCTCCTATGTCTCTTGTTTTTGCATCTGCAGGTTAGTGAAATAAAGCATGGATTTTTTAAAACAGTATTTGTGTATAAAGGCTTTTATCAGTGTTACTGTTAAATGTTCAGAGTTTCAGATGCATGCCAGTGATTCCAGAATATAACTCAGGTGGTAGAAATAGAAATTAACTGTACTGTTTCTGTGCATCTCGGTTTTCTGTGTTTGCAGCTACAGCAGAAATTCAAATGTTTAATCTGCTTTAAATCATGCAGATGAATTAATATGTTGTCATCTCAGTCCATGACAAATAATGGGAGAAACCACGTGAAGCAAAGTTTTAGGGAAACATTTAAGACATGTGCAACACTGGATTCAGTGTTGGATGAGTGACTGAATGTTAAGTATGCATATAGTTGTGTAGTTAAAAAAAAATCAGGAAACAAAACCAAAGCCATTCAAACAGATGACATGGTGCAGGGTGAATTTAACTTAACCCCCACCTACTTAACAAACTGAGGAAAACTCAGCAGCTCCTCACAAAGACGGCTGACACAGTAACAGTTGTAACTGTCTCTCTCCATCTGTCCTGTTTAACTAAATGCAGATCATTACTGGTATGTTTTAGTTGGTTAAACAAAGAGAGAGAGCCTGCTCTAATGTGTGTTTCTATGTGTGATTTTTTTTTTTTTTTTTTTTTGTTAAAGATTTGAAAATCTCATGAACCCTCATTTTTTACACAGCACAGAAAACATGTAAAATAACAAATATAAGAAAAAAAGTCTGCAAACATCTGGCAGGTGAGGAGACCAGCTGCTGGAGGATTTTGTCCTCTTAGTCTGGTAGAGGATTTGAGCTGCTCAGCACTCCTGGTTCTTCTTTGTTGTATTTTGGTTTCATGTTTTCAGTTGATGAAACATTTGGAGTGAGATTAGTTCAGGCCTCACGCTTTTCTACTATGAGTCATGCTGATGTAGTCAATTGTAATGCAAAGTTATTTAAGGACTAGTTTTATTGCAATGGATGAGCTTACTGACTGACGCGCAGAAGAAGTAGTTCTTTATGGAGCCTAGATGGTGTGAATGATGAGACCAGAAACTGCAATATCTTGTGCCAAAAATATATTGAATAGATGGGGGAAAGGGGAAGTGGAACAAAATAATTAATGCAACACACAACATAAACGAATGCCCACAATTAATTAGAAAAGTGATTGCTGTGGTTTTCTGTGCAAGAGTCCTTTTGTTAAGAGTCCTTTTTGGTCCTTTTCTTTTTAAAGTTCACTTTTTAAGGTATTCCTCCTTAGGGTGCAGCTTCATACAATGGGGAAATATGTCCGTAATCCAAAGACGGCAACGTGGGGGAAAAAACAAAGAATGGTCCTACCGGCTCGCCACTTCAATATGAAGAAGATCAGTTCAAAGGGGGGGAAAAAAACCTGACCTGTAGGTCAGAAGAATGTCCATTAACACATCTAGTTCAGGTTACCGGCAATCAAACACATTTTTCTGCAGTTCTATGTAACAATGCAAATCATGAATCATAATCGTCATCCATCAATGTACAACAGTTAAATTATTAATCATCTTGGCTACGTAGCTTAATCTATACATTCCAGTAGCGTTCGCTACATCCACATACAAAAACGACAATAAAGAAAAACAACTGTCTAACAGACAGCATAGCCGGATTCAAGGCAACACATAACAATAATCATTCAATCTCACTTTGTTCCAAAGTAAGCCCATTAAAGTGCTTAAGTAAATAAAAGAGTTCAAAAACAGCGGTTTTTGAACT